GTTCCTCTTTCTTGTTTGTCTCACTTTTTTTATTGTAGTTGTTATTGGAATTCCATCGCTGCTGGCATTCTAGTCGTGAGCATATTTGTGAAAAGCATTCTTCGGAGAAGCTTAAAGGCATTCTGGTATGTTCACAGATGCTTGGTGCCAATCAGATGCGAATTTTCCGAGTCAACTTATTTGCACGGTAAAACTCAATGAAAAGAATAAGAGAGAAAAAAATCGATAGTCTCATTCATATTGAGAATCGTTAAATTGACACTCTTATTCATAAAATTTTCTTTTGTTACCGCCACCGTATTAGCATCACTTACACATACCGTAATCCAATCGCAACAAAAAAAGAGAAGAAAAATGCGTTCAATTGGAATTGAGTAAAATATCTCTCAGAAGGGGAGCATTAAACGCATAAAAAACTTTCAATTTATTTCCCCATATTTTTTCGAGCGATGCATTAAAGTTTGATTATAACGACCGAACGTGAGTTTAACAAAAGGGGTTCATTTTTATTTCAGGTTTTCTTCATTGAAACGTTTTAGTGATTATCGCAATTTATGCTTTAATGACTGAGTAACAATCTGGTGTCTGTCTGTTGCTCACCGTTTTAAATTAATTTCTCGCGAAATTAAAATAAAATGGCAAATTTCCCAATAAATTCTCGACGTAGAGCCTTTTGAATGCTAAAGCATGGAGGGAATCAATAAATTGATGTGTTGGGTGTGCGAAAAAGCCGCAGGTGTTATATATTTATTCACAGCATAAGCTATACGCTTCAGTGTCCAATAATTTATTTAAAATGAAATCATAGACGCCGTGATGTGTTCATCGATGGAATTGTTTGACATGACGAGATTTAGATGAAAATCGGAACAACAGGTGTTCAATTGTTCATCGTGAATGCTGTAGCCAATAATACGAATGATGCAATCACATCACAAGCACAACGAATTAATAAACGAGATGTGACGAACGAAATTTAAGCCGAGATCACGTTCCAAGTCGTTTGTGTGGGTTTCATTTTCCCAATACGTTCGACGGGTGATAATTCTGAAATTAAAATCAATGGGTAAAACAGCTACAAAGACGATTGAATCAATGGACGTGTTGATTGTAGCTGGTGACAGGATTAAATTGATAACACACTTAATCGCCTGTTCGTTGAACAAAGAATCAAAGTGATGATAATAAATGAGTAGCATCCAACACAATCTCAATGCTTTGTGTGTTCGCACATTTGTGTGCAATTCGATATTTTATTACCCGACCATTTTTCCACTGGCACATTCACCAAAATGACAGCACAATCATAGTTGTTCGGTAATTTTTGATTTTATGCTGCAAACACCACAATATATATCTATAGTTTGAAGCAATACGTATATTATTTTACGGTTGTTAAATTCACCAAATGACATTCACCGAAAAGATTGGCTCTCTTTGGCCAAACCATTACGTACTAAATTTGATTAGCTCTTTTTGATAGCATCGAATAACAAATGGCCAATTCCACTATGTGTCACGTTTGGTTGGTGGAAGGGGTTGGTGCGGATATTTCTGTTGCTAATGCGTGCGTATGTGACTGTCTCATCCATAATAAAATAGATTAATTTAATGACGTTATAAGCGTGCATTTCAGAATGAAAAGAAAGATGCTGTTCAACCCATATATTATTACTGCTATGAGTTAAAGAATTTCGCATTGGAATTTCGTCTATTTCATACATCTGAATGGCATCAATTGATTTCATGTTTGTTGACATCATCTTGCACGAAGTTAACTAATTTTCGTGTCACTATCCATTTCTATTCAGCACGAAGAAAATGCCATTGAACTCCACATTGACGCCACACTTGTGCCTTTAATAAGATTGTTTTTTTTTTATATGGGAAAAAAGAGAGAGAAAAAACTGACCATCGTGCTGAATTTATTTGACAGGAATTCTTTCTCAAATCAGATTCCTTTTCTTTATCACCAAAAAAGTGTTTGACTTAGCAACAAATGGTCACAAATTCACAGGTGTGGATAAGAACTTATTGAATTAAATTGAATAAACATACACTTATTCAACCGTCCTCCTTCGGCTCATTCATTCGCATGATAGACATTTTGAGTGCTTGAATAAGCAACAGGTGTATAAATCAAAGTTCCAACGCATATTGAAAGAGATATGGATGCAATCTTTCGAATGTAAAAAAAAGCTTTGAGACTTTTTCGCAATATTCAAATAAACGTACATCCGCGCCATTTATCATGTGACTCTTCATTGCGAAATCCTTTAAAATTGAAAGCGATAGACTTTACACCGACGGCAATGCGTAGTGACAGCGAAACAGCTACTAGTTTTGAGTACACAGCGATGTAATAGTGTTATTTATATTTTATCCGTATTTTGGGTTGCGTCGCATGAGATTGATTCTATGTGGATGGAGTATAATATTGTTCGCTGCGCAACAGGTGGCCTTTTACATTGAAATTGATGATAAGCCAAGGAACTAAAACATAGAGTGACATTTCGATTAAATTGCTTTGCACTGGTAACATCATAGCAACATATCTACCTCAAAACTACGGCTACACCTTTATTTCGAGTAAAAAAAATGGAAATTTACAGAGAAAAACGGAGATGTATGCAAAGTAGCAAGTGATCCTTTTTGAAGATTAAGCGAACCATGAAAGGTTTCATCCACTAACTTATTTCGTTGACCGGAAACAACAGAATCATCTTTTCCACAAAGTAAATTCAGCATATTGTCAACCTTGTTGGCTGGTTTTTTTCCTTTTTACACGATTTTCATCTTATATATATTTCAATAACGTGAATTGTTGAGTGTGGTATATATTTTTCCAACGAATAATAAGCTGTCGGATTTGACAATCAAGCAAATGACAGCAATATAATGGCAATATTGGCTATTTTCTTTCAAGTAATCACAACCTCACCTACGTATTTTAAGCGATTTATTTGAACGAAAAAGGTATATAGGTTGCCAAGCAGCAGAGAATGAGCAAAAAATTGCGCATCTCAATGGCTATGGTGAAATTATTGTCATTTATCGTCCCTTAAATTAGCTTTTAATGATGGACTCTGAATGCAATGGACATTTTGAATTGATGCCATGTATGTTGATAACTTTGAGGACAAATGAAAGAAGATCTGACAATTTAACTGACAATAACTACTAAAATAACGACCAGTAAAATGAGAAAAATCTAATCCAAGCCGACGTTTGGATATTTTCGATATAAAAAAGGGCAATCATTGCCCACATTTATACGTGGTAGATAATATATTTTCCTTTTTCGACATTGTTATTAACATGGGTTCGTTCCAATAGAACACTTCTCACTTCATAGCTTCTTCATGTCGACCCATCATTTTCCCGACCATTTTACAGATTCTTTTATGGGCACCATACAAGAAATGAAACAAAGAAAAAAATCTCGCAATGAAATACATTGTCGGAGGCCACGAAACAAAACAAATGACCGTAAGTTATTTGTTTTACTTTTCTTTCGTTTTCGAATTACGAAATGGATGAATCGGTTTATTAACACATCTATCAAATCGGCATTTCAAACCAAAATACTATTTCGACATTCAAATCGAAATTTCAAAATCGTCTTGTTACCCCAAAATAATGCACATTCTTTGATGTGCTCATTGAAGCAATAAAATAAATGAAATGCCATTTCGATTTGAATTTACGAATCTCACCTGTATCAAAATCGATAAATTCGCAGTGAAAGTCGGGCTGTTCTAACCAATTCAATGGCCAAATTCTTAATAGCCGTACTTTCCGATGACTTTTTAAATGCTCTTAAATACCTTGTTGGAGATATATTTTCAATTTGCAGCTTAATAGTGCACATACACTTTGGTTTCAATATAATTAAACTAATTAAGTGGCAATTTAAAAAAAACATCTAGAGCGTGAGGTAGAAGATGATGCTGCAAAAATGTTCATTTGCCATGTATCTGCGGTGGTTCCGGTCATTTTGTGTTCCTATTTAGATTATGTTTGAAGATGATGAAAGTGAGGCTGATGTAAAAGCGAGAAAAAAACGTGCACAATGAGAACGCAAAGTAAAAAGGTATGCAACGCCCAGCAGCCGACAAAATAAAATCGTTGAGCGTACAAGTTTTTATGGTTATGATGATGACAGACTGCAAAATATGGCATTCATTTCATGACTCATGTAAAGCGGAAGAAAATTCAGCAGCAGAAACAAAAAAAACATATAACAAAGACGAACGCCTGGATTTTTCATTTAATTGCAAGCAAGTAAAAGGGCAAAAAAAAAATAAAAGAGGAAAAAAGTCTTCCGACCATCAGCAACAAGATGAACGGACGATGGAGCAAAATCGAGCACTGAAGTAGTAATAGAATGAGAAAAAAACTGTGTGCAGGCGTGGGAAGTTCACAATGCATATTTGATTTCCTGTACTAATTTGATTAAAAAGCTCACTTTCAAAAACACATCCATACGCTTCGTCGAATGTATCAAAGTAGATACGCAAAAAAACCATCAAAATCGCAACAAAGAACTTCAGTTGCTAAGCTAATATCTCAATCTTGGTGTTTGGTCAACAGTGTTGACTCAACACCATCAGTATATGGAACGCATATCACAGTTTGTGATTTTTTTTTTGTTTACCAGATTGCAAACTCCCGAAAGTTCAACTCTCGAAGTCGTGACAAACGAATAACAATGAATAACATTAGGGGTGCACAAAAACATCAATTTAAAACAATTTCACATCTGACGGCAATAAAATAAACCCCCGATTCATACGGGTAAAATGTAATAAAAGACTTTGTAGACGGAACGATATGCGATAGAAAAGAATGAATAGCGGAAATCGATTGAATGTGTTGGCATCAGTATCAACAGATTGGTGCGAACAATAAAATTACGTTTCAGTATACACAATTGACACATAACATGAATGTTAAAAGATGGAAGAAAAAGAATTAATAAAAACATATAACATATTTACCCGTAAGCTGACATCGTCGAAGTTGCGCTCAAACGCTCACACCAGACAACTTGAAATAACTAAATTAAATTGGCCCGCTGCACTGCACTAATATACATTATTCAGATTGTTGACACTTGATTGAATTTTTTTTATAAATTTCTTTCTATCTATTCTGTGTTTCAATTCGTTTTGCTCTTGCATCGCTTTTGTCACAATTATAATTGATCACTATTCGAGCAATTTGTAATAACCTTAACATGGCAAATTGTACATTCACTTTTTCACTGCACGTGAAAGTTTTTACGATAAAAAAACCGAATCCTTTTTCCGGCCACTCATTTCGCATTGTAGTAAAAAAGAACGAAACGGATGTCGAAGCTCATCCGATCTACTGAAAGGAATTAAAGGTCACAGGAAATATGTAACAACGCATTCAATTATGATATATACATTGTTTTTTATATAGTTTTTGTGCATCGGAGTATTTCATAAACTCTGTGGCTTTGTTGCACTCCATACAAAAAAGAGAAGAAAAAAATACAACAGAAAAATTGCAAACGACGAAACATAATTGTTCTTGCCACATCAATTCATCGCTGAATATATTTTGTGAGACATGGAGAATCCATGATAATCTTTATATACCAATCATTTGCCCTTTGTCTTTCGTTTTTTCTATTCTATTTCACTTTTATATTCATGTGGATAGGATAATACAACAAAAAAGGGGATAATAAATAGAAGTCTATAGAAAGAAAAACCGATAAAAATCTTCGCCGCCTATTCCGACCAAAGTACATTTTTGGTGTCTAATCTGTTTGTATACATTTAAACAAATCTAAGACCGCGATAAAGTTTTTATCGTTTGTTTGGATTTTTCACACTCGGTAAAAATCGTGTTTCAATTTAGTGCGACTGGATGTTGATTTTGTGCCTATTGATTTTCCATTTATTTTGCCTGCAGCTTCTTTATATTGGTTGATTTAAATTTATATGGGCTGTGGATCATCAAAGATAAAGCTGCGAGTAAGAAAAAAACGAAGCAAATAAAACAAAGAAAATTGTTTCGTTTGTGAGATTCCTTCCGATGGAAAGATTCATCATCATTAGTGGAATTATGTCGCGTTCAATGTGGATGGATTACGCTTTTTATTCACATAAATAAAATATTGGGAGGAAATGTAGACTTTTTGTTTTGTAAGTATGTACTAAGTTAATGTGGCCTTGTGATCGATTGAATTTCATGTGGTTGTCTCCCCCTCTGCACTCTGTACGTCAGTCTTGAGTTGAGACAATACTTTTCAACAAAATTGATGCTAATCGAAACTTTGTTTGTAATTTGCCAAAAGTTCACATTTCTACATTGGAAATTTTCACTTTCAACTTTGGATAAATATTTGGAAAGTAAATTTATCGATGGCAAACATCTGTGAAAGACTTCGGCTTGAATTTTGAATAAGATGAACGATACGCTGGAAATCATCCACCAAATATAGCACGCAAACTCATGTTAAATCAAAGTTTGCAAACCAGACTATGCATAATTAAAAGCGTCGCCTGATGCGTTTCAGTTAATAGTCTTTCTTTTTTTGCCAGAGTAGCCATGAATTCAGCTTTGTCATAAATATGATTGTTTCTTACTTTATTTTCACACTCAATTTGGTTTCTAATTCTTATTGTATGCAGGATGTGGTTTTTTCCATCATAAAAATTGAATAGGCGTATCGATACGCAAGAATTAAAAAAACGGCTGAGCCGACAAAATCATTGTGTTGAGAAAGTGTGTGTTAGGAAAAAATCGATTAACCATCGAGAGAAGTTCTGGTCAGTTTGATATTTATCGCAATATAGTTTATCAAAATGTTCAATTATATGGTTTTTGTGTGGCAATAAAATGAGAGATTGTGCTACAAATACGTATCGGTCCATTAAAGATTATTGATGGCTAAAAAAAGAGTAACTGACAATTCCATCCATCATTTTTTCCAGAATCATTTACATCAACCCCTTTTTTTCTATGTGCACACAGATAATAAAACGTAAAATAAGTTGTTGGTGGAAAAAAGTAAACGTTAACGAACTAATCATAGAGATTAGCGATAAGCCATGAACAAGAATGCCTTGCATCTCGAACAAAACAAAATGGTATGTACAATGTACATTGTTTGATCGAGTGTTTTTCGTATTGGATGGAATTCCATCTCAATGAAGATGAATGAATGTAACCAATGATCCACAATGTGAATTCCACATAAGGAGTATCGAGTTTCTTTGGGTTTTTTTGAAATTGTATACACTCTCAAAGCGGTGTTGATCGTGTAACGAGCAGGGAAATGCATGCACACAAACTGCCTCAAAAGATGATTACACTTAGGCATTTCACATTTCAACAGCAATGTCAATCAATTTTCGCTATTCATTCGCATAGCATTCGATGATATAGCAAGCAACTGACCAGCTTTTTGATCATTATCGATATATACAAATACAAACAAAGAGGCACACAGAATACAAACGCAGACACATATTGATGTTATTTACTGCGTGCTGAGCACATTCATCACTTTCACACTGTCGTTTCATGAGTATTTTCATTGTAATCATTGGTCGACAATGAAATGTTATCGATGTTTATGCCATTGGTTGATTCTTTTCCTGTGCTATTGTTGTTGTTGTTGTTGGTTTTTTTCGTTCGTTTGCCATTTTATTCGTGTGCATTTGACTGGCACCACTTATGTTTATCGATTCTATTAGTAAATGTTTATCTAACACTTGTTTTTCACATTCGTTAGTTGTTTACTTTCTTTTGATTCAAGTTTATTTGCTTTTTGCGTTCTTCCATCGTACTTTATGGCCGAAATGAAATGTCTATGGAATGTGATTTCTATTTTTCTAATGCCAGCAATTTAATTTGATTTTTGTGGTTGTTGTTATTGTTAACAATGAATATATATATATTTATATCAAAAAGTTACAAAGCATTGAACGATTTCATATTTGATTCGTTCGGTACTGGAGTAGCACAATATCAAATGGAAAAAAAAATTAAGGAAATAGTTGGCATTGTATTTATTCGGGATTTTTGCCGTAAAAGCAGAATTCATTTTTGTTGCTATGTACATTGTCGAATCTAATCGATCGAACGCATACAATGTATACGGTTTTTTTTTTATATCAGTGATAAGGTCCCACGATGATGACGAGAATGGCGCTTTGAAAATGAAACGGGAAATTTGGCCATATTTTCAGTGTTAGTTTTTAAATGGATCGAACGGAAAACTGGAAATAAATCAACACTGTCGGAATTGAGCCAGTTGGTGGTAAAACATTTGTAACGAGAGCACACACAAACACACACAAACACACACAAAACACTTGCCCTTTTGAAACAATGAATAATACGATAATTTAGCGATATGTATGTGCTGATGATTCAATGTAATGCCTGACGAAATGAAATGCTCTTGTTAATGTGTCCAACAATTTCTTGCTCAGCTGAATTTTCTTTCGCAGACATTACCCGGGCTCATATCGTGTTTTTTTGTGTATTGCACTTCATCATTCGCTTAAATCGCATGATTCATTTTGGTGGTGAGCTGTTTTTCTTTTCAACTTGAAGTCGTCAATTTTTTTCTCTCTCTTTTATATCGCATAAATAAATGTAATATTTTTCCAAGGAAAAAATTTAATTGCAATAGATTTACTATCAAAGTGACAGCTCGACGAATTTATGACACACGACAAAATGTTACGATTAGCGAAAATCTACGTTCAATTTGTGAACACACTTCACACATAACCGTACAGAACCGAATGGCCATTTCATTCGTGTAATTGAGGTAATAACAATGCATATGGGGATTACAACGAGTTGAGTGATGGCCACACATAACGACCGTATCATGAATGTATTCGAATGATTATGGTCACACAAAATTGTTCAACAAATTGAAACTCCTTGTTTTTTCTTCTTGCTCATATTCTTATGTTTGGGAGTTGACACATTACAATTAATTCAACTTTAATTACAAAATGATTTATATTATTTTTCTTCCACTTTTCCGGATGCATTAAAATTTAAACGGCACCAATAATATTTTTTTGATTTCCTTTTTCACATAAAAATAATCAAACTTGTATCTTTTTCACCAAGCACTTATTTCACTTAATGCAAAACTTTCGCTTACTCTGCTCGATGAAACCATAAATTCAATTATCACATCAATTCCGAAAATAGTTTCTTTTTCTTCCTTATTCTTTGTCACACACAAAAAACACGGTACGAATTTCAAACTCCGAAATAAGTTGGAAAACTTTAAATTACCCATTGATAAAGCCACAGACATCGAATGGCCATCAATTTTAACTGAAAGTGAGTTAAAATGAAAACTAAATGATGAAACCGAAAACGACCGTTTGAGTCCCGTATTTTTTTTTTTTTTTTTTTTTGACTGCGACCATCAATTTTGTGCGTACCGTTCGACGTTCGCACAGAACTGAATACAGAATTTTTCCAGTTGGCACGCAAAACTTGGCTTGAGCCCGAGAGCTGTTTTTCGACGGATGATGGAAACAATGAGGAAAAAAACACCAGCAGCAACAGAAGGCGAAGAAGAGAAAGGCAAAGGGAAAGAGAAAGGGAAAAGCTATTGAATTCAGTCCCAGCACACAAAACATCGAATGTATACATTTTCAGTGGAACGTATTCAATCAACAACACCGACACTGTTGCGTATGGAATGGAAATGGATGTTGGAAAATGTGCTCGGTTTGCTTGTCTATATGTTTTGTATGCGTGTGTAACAAAGACAACATCGTTGCTCGGTTTTTCTCCGGTTTTTTCTCCAATAGATTTGGCGTGCGCTTCAAAGCTTTCTCATGCCTCATTTTCCCAGTCAAAATGTTGTTGTCGTTATTGCTATGTCTTAACTCTTAAAGAACTTAGTTTCGGGCCGCTAGCCAAGCTTTTAATGCTATTTAAATTGTGCGCTGTGAAAGCAATGACAATATTTATACGTTTGCCTCACATCTACATAAACTGCTGCAATTAACTATGAATTCATTAAAACAACTGAATTTTCTTGCGGCATCAACATTTTCTCTCTCTCTATCGCATTTTATTGACGATTTCTTTGGTTTTTGTTGTGACGGCCGTCACATCTGTGGGTGATTTTGTTTCTTATTTGGTTTTCTTTTTTGCTTTCTTCAGTCTATGCCATATGTTTTTGCCCGATCGTTGCAAAAAGTTAAATTAAGCCGATTAGAGTAAGGTTTATAAATTCCTTAAGTGTATAAACACAATTTGAAATTGAGCCGCTTTTTATTATTTCATCGATAGAGTGCGCAATCATTATGAAAAAAAGAGCGTCGAAAGAAGACATTTTTCCCAAAAAGTCAAAATGAAATGGAAATTGGTTCGTCAGTCGTAACGACATAAAAATGTTCCATTTTTACCATCTAGTAAATAATCTCTGGGTAATTTAAGGCGCAATTACTTTTGCAGATGGATTACATGATATGGTTGTTATACGCTTCCGTTCCATTTTCCGATGGATGAAGAGGGTCTCTTTTTCATATCTATTCTAGGCCAAGTGCAGTCCCGCATTTTTATTTATGCAGAGAAAATAATTTCAGCACATCTATTGTTATTCGGTAAACACTATTGCTTTGATGGGTAATGCGGTACAGTTCTTTCGCCGCCCGTGAAATATCAATTTGTATAAATTGCGGTGAAAATAACAATTTTTCCAAGCAACTCACCCACCCACACACAAACATCAAACATACTACATTTTCAATACTTTTGTTAAATAAATGAACGATTGTTTTTTTTTTTTTCGTTGCGTCAACCAGCAGTTGCGTCAAGTGATTGTTTGAAAAGCCATGCTTTAGAATGCAAAAGGCGTGAAGAGAAGCCCTATTTGATAAGGTTAATTGAAAGTAATTAATCAAAAATGTTAGAGGTGAGATTGAAATAAAGGAATTGAAATGCTGGCTTTTGCGTCAACCAGGTCTGCTATTTTTCGAAATAATAAAAAGAACAAACAATTCGCTCTGTTCAATTCATTGTAGAGCATTAAAATTAATTAAAATTATAGACATTCACGATGCTTTGATCGCGTGTCGTTTAAGGGCATGTATCTCTTAAAGCAAATTAGTGATTAAAAGCTCGTCAAAGCGAACAACTTTATATTTTCATTGTGTTGATTTTACTTTGTAAGAAATCTGCTTGCACTTCTGTTTTCATCTTTGAGTCCTTGGTTTTCGCTTTATTTTTCTCGTTGCAAGCGTAAAATTTGCATTGAGTGAGTTTTAAATCGTGGATAGAAAAATGTATATTCATATATTAATGAGCATGAGAATGAAATCCTTTGTGTGTTGACAGCATCTTTTGTTGGAAAACCTGTTGAACGCACAAAAACACAATTATTTGCACAAAATGTGTGACGGTGGTTTTCTGTTATTGCATGTCGAAGCCATCAAAAGTAACATCTGGATGTGTAAAGCAATTATTTTTTATGCAATCAACATTTTCTAGAGAAGAACGAGAATGATTCCAATAGGGAAAGTTGCTGTCAAGGTGTCAGCATCGTTTTTGTTGCTTTTATTTCGACTAAAATTCATAATTCCGACACATTTATATTGTTTCAGTTAGATCGCACGAATATTGAAAGCAAAGAAGACGTACTCAAACTTTCACGCGCTGAACAAATGTTTTGAAATTAAGTGTACCATGTTATATATTTTTTCATTACTTTCATCCATATCGCTTTGAATTTTTGAAATTGTACGAATATATTTCGGCAAATAATTCTCTTATGATTTATGACACTTCATTCAGGTGAAAATACCAGCATTTGCTTGAATACGTGTTTTTGTTCAAGCGCCATTTCCTCATCATTCGTTACGACAGGGATACAAAAAAAACTTCCAAACTCTAAAACACAAACATTTATCATTAGATTCTTTTTAAGGTTTCACCCCTCCAATTGAAATGTTCTTCGACTTATGTGTAAATTTGTCAAAATTTCTTGACGAACACTTATTAATAAATTCGAAACACTAAGACTGTTGCTAAGGTATATCACCCGGTTGTATACAGATATCATGCTCACGTTGTCGCTGCCATAGACAAGGTTCATGTTTGAATTGAATTCAGGCCACGAGACGCAAAATTCCAAATCGAATATCGATTATGCAAAAACTTTTGTTAAGATATTGACGCGCTATTTCTGCTTTGCTCTTACGCTTTCTTTTGTATGCGCTCTCGTTGGGATTCTCGAAACACCCTTGTCGGTTGCCAGCCATCTAAAATGGTATTCAAACTTCTTGAATGTGTACAACATTTAGACGGGTAATTTTCACACGATATGCTATTCCGGCTTTGACTGGTTGCTTTGGCATTGTTCCAAACAAATCTTTGATAATAACATCGAATATATTCAACACCAAATATACTACAATTCATTTAATTTGTTAGATACACAGAATATGTTGATTTTTTCTGCAATTTCTTTTTGTATCAATATTGAATTAACAGAATGTGTGCAGTGCACTGCAAATCTACATTGATCCAGAGCATTATTTTCGTATCGCTTTATTTTAAACAATCAAAGATAGTTTTAATCATGAACGTGCTCGCGAAATTCAGCTGAACGCGTTTTCTCTCTCTCTGAATAACATGAAACGTACCACTGAGTGTTGAACAATGTTAAAGTAACATTGTAGATGCAATTTTCATCCGTTTTCACCCAGATTTAATTTAGAGTTTATTGAACTTTCATCGCTGTTCTTTTGGCGAGACCATGGTGATGCACACATGAAACTATGTGCAAATGGTATAATTATTACGAATCGTAGTCGATCAATTGAATTGTATTTGAATAATTTAATTATAATATAGATACATTCCATAGCCAAGATATCCAGAAATTCAAATTGCGGTTTCATTTGTTGAGATGTAATATTCGAAATGATAAACATTCGATGTGATTTTCGTTGGTCCATTTGATTTGAAAATTCGCTCGATTTTTCAGTATTTTGTTACATTGCGATACAGTGTTGAATAACCCCAATGGCAATAATTTACTTTTGCGAGTGGCAGAATAAATCCACGCGAACATGATCCAAACATTGTGTGTGTATGGCAGTTTTTGTTTGCTGCTTGTTTCAAGTCATAAATTTGTTGCATGTCTTCATTTCAAGTTGATAGACATGTTGTTATCAACTTTATTAACACATGAGAGAGAGTTTATGATAGCACTTTTGTGAGCTAAAAGTTGATGAAAAACGTATTCGCTCATAGATTCCGAAATTTGTGTGCGTCGATGCTTCGGTGTGTCTCTGTCATTATTATCTACACATGCATCATCTTGGCTAAAACTTGGAACGATGAACGTGTTTAACCGACTTGAAAATGTGTTCGTATGTAGTTGCAAACAACCAAGCAGCCACCAGAAAAAAAAGTTCAACAATTCCAATTGTTTGTTGGCAGATTTGTCCTGTTGCTGAGTTGCGATTTTTTTTACCGTCTCTCCAAAGAGTTTACAAGTTAACCATAAGGAATGCGCACTTTTTTTTTATAACATAACTTCTCTCTTTTACTTGTCGTTCTGCTTGTGACACTCAGGGTCACGTTAAAAACAAAAACTAACTCGCTTTCAAATTATTTATTTTCACGCATCGTGAATTTTTTGTGCTCACATTTCCAGCTTCAATTTCACAACTTTGTGTCATAATGACAAAAGTTTATGCTACCAATAACAGTACAAGAGCGAAGCGTGAAACCCGAATAATTTGGGCCGGTATTTGCTATGCAATTGATATGTTTTGTTTTGGCATGTTTGGAAATGACTCATTTTACGAGCAAAAACAGTTCAAGATGTGCATTGAACAAAATAAAATAAACACTATT